ATGAAAGAGGGAAGTATCAGTTTCCATCCAGCAAACACAACAGAACTGGCAGACGCCGTCTATAAAGCTGTGACGATGGGCGAGGACGAGAAGAAGAAGAAATACGAGTATCTCAGGAACTTTATTGAGACTAACACCAGGTGAGTCTGTCTCTATCTGATAAATCTAATAAGGTCCGCTGTCCGCTGAACAAACTTCAGTGCTCGATGGGGGGAAACGTTCATCGACAGGCTGTCCAAACACATCTAAAAGTGTTGATGTAGAATTGACGTAGTATAATTTGGCTCTGTAACAGTCAATTACTGTAAAGTACAGTTTTGTTCTCCATTTTCTACTAGAATGTACGACTCCTGCGAGAATATATGATACACTTTAAGGTTGAATTCAAGCAACAGGGGGGCAGATACTTGGATCCATGGAACTACTGTTTGCCCCCGTACTTTTCCCCGCGTATAGTTCTGTACACAGTTTTCCAAACAGATAAAGCCTGGCTGCATTGTAGAGAAGCATCTGGAGACTATAGTGCAGGCAGCTCTCAGAAGAAGTTGATACTATGAGCACTAGAGCTTGAATAAATGCAATAACTAAGGCTAATGTAGAGAACAGAGAAAATTATACAAGCACATTGTCAAGAGGTCTCTCTCCGGAGAGAGGTCAAAGTTCGGTATTCTCAGTCTGGACCTCTTTCGGACCTCTCTCTGCTGGAGTATCAGGATGGTAAGCAGATTTCTGCCTAACCTGAACCACGAATCCAATGCTGGACAAGTCATAAGCTTGAGAAAATTTGACGTCGATCCAGTGGATACTCCCCCAGCCTTCTCTTGCATTCTCTGTAGCTGGCAGCCGGTTTCGCTCTTCACTGAAGCAGACAAGTGAATAACTCGAAGGCTGTAGCAGGTCCACGACTAAAATTCGCGTAGTTCCTGGCAAGTTCCACGTTCTCTGACGGCTAGACAGTGGATACTTCTCCCGGAAGCGCTTGATTCCTGATGGGGTGACTGGGGGAGTGGCAGGTTTTGCCGGGGGAGCAGTGAATAACTTCAACTCGATGGGTCTTCAACCATGGTCAACCACCATGATTCCCTGCCTGCCACCACAACTTGAGTCACAATTCGTCATCCGATTCTGCTTCCAGATCAGTCTGCAAGCGACGACAGTGAATATCTCTCGCTTAGCTAGGCGAGAGTTAGTGTGATTCTGTCTCCCTCCCCAGGGTATAAATACCCCCTTCTTCCCTCTCCAACTTCTTCTCCTCTTTCTCTCTCTCTCCTTCTCTTCTTCAACTCTCACCTTCTCTCTCAGCAGCATCTGCTCTCTCTTCTTCTTCTCTTTTCATCTTCCTCCTGCCTCATGCAACCCTTCGATCGAAGACAAGTGTCTGCTTGTCTGTGTTGAACAACACTTGACTCTCTTGAGAATGATAGAAGCTAGGTCCCCCACCTCAAACGCTCTTTTCTTTGTTTTTGCCCTTTCACATCTTTCCCCCTTCCCCTCTGCCTGAGAAAGTGAACATCCTGCTGGCTCCTCGCTTCCCTGTGGAAGTGTGTTCTGGTTTGTTGTGGACGAGAGTTGGAGTCACTTAAGGGAGTTGCCGAAGCGATATAGTACGCTCTCCCAGGCCTCAGGGCAACCTGAGTAACCTTGTGCTCCGTACGGCTCAATACGACTCTGCTTCCGATCACTGCATGCTTTCGTTGGTTGAGTACGCCCTACACCAAAAGAGTGCTGTTGACCATGCCCGGGATACAACGTTTCGGCGCCGGCCATCTGTATCACAGTCTCTGGGGAGAGATTTCAACTGGCCCCTTGGAAGAAGAGAGCTCAGTCAAGTACTTGCTGGAGGTTTTACTCTCTCGCCTTCCATGTATCAAGGACAGTTGCTTGCTCGTGGCTCCCCCATCTTCTGCCCTACCTATGCACCTCCCCTGTCATCATCCCCCTTAACCCCCCTAGCAGTCGGTTCAACCGGCTGATAGTTTTACAAACCTTCTAGGAGCGCCCGACGAACCGAGACTCGACTCACCGAACTCAACAAAAGGAACTTGTGGGAGGAGTGAGGGAGTGAGAGGGGGTGTTGGTCTTGTCTTTTCTTTTGTTTACTCTCTGTTGTTTCATGTATCTTCCATTGTACTGCAAATGAACTTATTCAACCATTCCAAAGTATACTACTGAGATGTAGCAATATAAACACTTGCTTGTGTTTCTATATGCTTCTTGTTTGTCAGTATCTTTCTGTAGCAGGTACGTACATAGTTGCTTCTGCTGTAGTTGATTCATGTATGCGGTGCTGTCTAACTATTTGTTTTCCCAGTCGTACCTGCCTTCCTTCATATGTTCTATCATACTACAACTAGATGCAGGGTCCTACTTACATATGTGGCTCTCTTCTCTTCAAGCTCTTTGTGTGTAAGCTTAAGCTGATGCTTTTCAGGTGGAATACCTCTGCATTATGATGGCAACTGCCGCCGAGCGCGTCCTCTTCATTGTCAACACAGAGACAATCCCAGGCTTAAGAAGAGTATTCTTATTCTTGTTGATTATGCACCTCTGCTAACGTCTCATGGTTAACTTCTAGATGCGTCTAGCTTTGCTAGCGAGGCGACATGTTATGAATTGACAACATCTTGTTGTGTGAGCTATAGGCTTATTGATGCGACCGTCTCCTTCTCGAACCCTCTACAGAAAACGGAAAGGCAACGTACACCTTTGCTCTACTCGACCAAGACCTAAATGCATATTTGTTGCGTGCTGCTGGCTTGCGGGTCATCCTCGGCTCCTCTACGTTTGCGTGAGAGGGATATTATGCTTAGTGATGCCTCCGAGGTGAGCTGGCTCAGGTATGTGATCTAGAAACGGTACTGCATGGATGGTAGCTCATGGACTGACCGAATTCTTACTAGGTTCGAGGCGTAAACTGTCGCGAATTACCTTCGTTTTGTTTGCTTTAGCGAAATCGTTACCGGGCGCGCATATCTACACCACTTCGATAGGGCAGAAGTTGGAGAGATCCGAATGTGCCAGTGCAGTACGAGACAGAACGCAGGGCGAACGAAGAGTCTGAACTACTCCATCAAGGGTCTTGGTAGTGAGCCTTCTCCAGATAATTTGGAATTGTGTGCCATCTCATTATACTCTTTGTTTGTGTGAAGGCTTTTCGACGAGGATCAGCGCCATTTCTTTGCAGATGGCTGATAGAAACAATGCTGCGATATCCAGCTTTAGTTCTTAATGAAACATGCCCCAAACCACCGAGATCAAGAATCCGGTTGTTGATGAGGTTCTGGATGATTGCCAACAAGTTCTAAAAGCATAAGAAAAATTACAGTCGGACGAGAATTTCTTTGTTCTCCTCGTTCTTGTCAATAGGCATCTTCATGTAGCAATATTTGGGCAGTATGAACTATCTCATTCTTACTGACAGATGTCTAGTTTGACACAGATTTCGTCTCTTCTGTCCATGAAAAGTGTGTCACTCATCGATCGCTCAGCTGTGCAGGTTTCCGGATTTCTGTTGCTCAGCTGTCTTCTCAGAATGGTTTGGGCTCTCCTTCCTTCAAGACACTCTCCAGACAATACTCTGCATGTGGCTCCAGTGATTGGGAATGAGTACAATAGGCTGACGATACTGAGCAGGTACATCTGCTGCATTGTGTTTAGCTATATATGCGACTGCCCATAGCAGCTTCAGAGGAATGTCCATATGAAAAGCTACGAGGATGGTAAGCTGCATATAAAATGCTTGTATTTTGCTGATGGTTCCTGTCACTGTTTTATTGATTATGCTAATAAGTCTTGAACTGATTCACCAGGCTAAAGCATGATCCCGACGAAAGTGTCGTGCAGATGACACAGCACAACCCATCCTATAACGTAACAACGCGAGCGATCTTATCATACCTTGCCAGTATGCACAGCCCTCCGTCGCGGACAATCTTGATAAGAGCCGGACAGTCGCTCAAGCTCGCCTCTTGGCTTGTCTCAGTCCTAGACAAGGCGGCATTCCCTGCCATTACCCCGGTTCTTGGTGCGCCCCCGGAGATTCGATGAGTTGGAGGGCCGACCTTCGAGGGTGACGCTGAGAAGGAGAGCATCTGCTTGGAATTCCAGTCTCCTGTGTTCGTATGTCCTAATCTTTGGTAGGATTTCATCATTGACTATCCCATAATAATCATGGAACGGGATATGGAGTCTCTCTGTGTACGGGGCTTATCGGGGGACCGTCGGGGTACTCTGCAACAAGAGCCTGACTTGCCAAGAATGACATACTCAGATTGCATATATAGCAGATATTGTTAGCCTCGAGTGACCCATTGCTGACTCGCTGAGGCCCCGTCTCTGCCAAGGCAAGGTGTGAAGGGGTCTCGTGATTGTGAGAGGAAGGAAAACTGACAAGGTTCTTGCCCATCAAAGGAAAGATCTTCATATTGTCCGGCATAACGGTACCCTGGATATGTCTTGTCTAAGTTCATTATGCAGAGCGTTGATTGGGTAACACTTAGGAAGGCCAAGCTTGCCGAGCCAGGCCGTCATATAGCTAAAGGATTGGTGGTCCAACCAGCATGATTTCAAAGTAAGAAGGCGCATTATCATTGCAACCCAAGACTCTCCACGTCCTTGTATTGCATAGGGAAGATATCCCGCTGATCATTCACATTTTGCTTTGCTTTATACGACCTTATCTGCTGAATGTGGGGTATCCACTATCAATACCGCCGTCTATGTCCGTCGGCCAAAGCTCAATCCAGTGTTTGTGAATAATATCCCTCTTAGGGACCTTCCCAAAAGCGCAACGCGTGAATACTTGGCGAAGGAGAGGCGAAGGAGGCAGATTCACAAATTCCTTGGCGAAGCACGAGGTGATGATTCACAAATGCGTTGCATTATATGGCAGGCGAGGAAGCCAACTATAAAAGCCGGGCAGACGGCAGGATCTGCTTCTGAACTTTCATCATTCTCAGAGCGTCATTGCTGATACGCAGAGAAAAACATATCTCGACAACATGAAGATAACAGCGTTCTCACTGTTGTCCCTGGCTTGTGCCGCTGCGGCCTCCCGAGAGGGGGAGGAGGCCATGGACCGCCTCATGTCTGTCAAGATCGAGCAGAGAGAGAGATTCAGGGCTGAAGGTCTATTCAACGCAAACCAGTATCCTGATCTGGGAAGCCAGAAGTGCGTCAATGGAAAAGCAGGAGAGTACTCGTGTGAGAATGTCGACCTTCTTGGCTTCCTCAGTCATCAGGCTATGGGCAGCAAGACCCGTGAGGGCAATGACATCTGGGGTATGCTTCCTGACTGAGAATATCTCCTACAAGGCTCACCAAGAATCTGTAGGATGGACTTCGCCTGATGGCCGAGAATTTGGCATCATTGGTCAAACCGATGGCACCGCTTTCGTTGAAGTGCATGCAGATGGGAGCCTCGACTACGTCGGACGGCTGCCAACTCAGACAGAGTCTAGCGTGTGGAGAGACATGAAGGTTATTGGTGACCATGTCTACATTGGATCGGAGGCCCCTGGTCACGGGCTCCAGGTGTTTGATCTGAAGAAGGTGTGTCGAGTGATACTTACCCCAACCGTCTTGTTTCGAGTATGGATAGCTGATTTTGTATGCGGCATTGCTAGCTTCTGGGCACGAGTGCTAGTAAACCTACCACGTTCTCGCTTTCCAGCGATCTCAAAGCCTGGTACAACGCTTTTGGGAGCTCTCACAATATTGTTGCTCACGAGGAGACGAACATGATCTATGCAGTTGGAACCACCAGGTCTCTTAGCTGCGCCGGAGGCCTGTGGATGGTGGATGTTTCCAACCCCGCGAAGCCAACGTCGCCCGGCTGTGTGAACCAGGATGGCTATGTGCATGACGGTAAGCCGTTGCTAGGACTGATCGTTGCGTGCCCATGTTAACAATCACAGCACAATGTGTCATCTACAAGGGACCCGACACGAAGTACAACGGACGCGAGATCTGCTTCAACTACAACGAGGATTCGCTAACCATAGTCGATGTCACCAACAAGAAATCCCCGGTGCAAATCTCCAAGACTCCCTACGCTGGCTCTAGCTACACTCATCAGGGCTGGGTTACCGACATGGAGAACATGTCGTATCTGCTGCTTGATGATGAGCTCGACGAGGTGGACAAGACCGGGGTGGCCGCCAACGGGCATACTACAACTTATATTTTCGACATCCGCAATCTTGCTAAACCCAAGCATTCTGGCACTTACCAGTCCCCCGTCAAATCGATCGACCACAACCAATACGTGCTCAACGGCCTCTCCTACATGTCGAACTACGGCAGTGGCCTGCGCATCGTGGATGTCAAATCCGTCGCGCAGGATCCCACTGGTTCGCAGTTCAAGCAGGTCGGCTTCTTTGACTGCCACCCTGCTGATGATGCCGAAGGTGGCAAGGTTGAGTTTGTTGGAAGCTGGAGCGTTTATCCTTACTTCAAGAGCGGCAACATCCTCCTGAACAGCATTGAACGGGGTGTTTTCTCTTTGAAGTACACCGGCCCGAAGTGATGACCAGTTGATTGCCTTATGGATCTGGACACTTTCATGATTGGGAAGTGTCATTAATGACCTGAATGAAATGAATTCAATACATCCACTATCCACGACTAGACGTAAATTAAAAAAAATAAGTCTTATCCAGGGTAGAATAAGCCTTTGAAGATGCGCCGGGCTGATATAGCTACAACTTTGCATCACGTAAGTAGTCTAATGGATTGATATTCGTGAATTGGCAATGGTTACAGCGATGAGGGAGCCTCTTGCAAGTCGACAAGCGTTCATACAATGCTGTACTTGGAGAAGTTCTTACACATCGAGGGTCGATGAGAGCGCAAGGTACTCCGTGGGAAAAATCTTTCAGACTCGAGACTTGAAGCAAAGAGCGAGTATTCCGATCGTTGCACCGTCATATGACATTTAAAAAATTCTTCAGGGTAATTAGGGACTAGGGCTGATAGATATCCAACTGAAAAAAATGCGAAGGCACCCTTCTAAGTATTGCTTGAATGAATACAGAAATCAAATCTGCGCCAAAGGCCTTGCAAAATCCTAATGTTTTACCTTGATGGTCTCAGAGGTAGTGCAAGTCTGTGTTATGCTTTTCTACATAGTGCAGCCTTCATACTGATATTGCTTACTGGGGTCCTCTCCCTGTGTGTTTACTTTTGCTCAAGAGAAGCCGGGTCGAAACCGAGAACTGCTCCTACTTATCAGTCGCGACCTTCCAAAATCTCTCGAATGAGACACACTGCTGAAAACTGCCTGTCTGCGATCAGCGTTGAACTTAGGTGGTTTTAGGTAAGATTTCCGCTAATCTACTCCCGATTGCTTTACATTGTGGTGTCACTGCCCTACTAACCTCTAAATACTTGAGCTCAAACCGAAGCCCGCATACGATCAGAACCGAAGTCACCATACGAAAGGATACGATCATATACTTTCCAATTCCATATACCCTGACGTCTATGAGATATTCCGGTCACCGGATGGCCACAGTCAAAGAAATTTGAGCCCATCTGCTGTTTCTGTTGCTGATGATCGCACAAGGCTCATTCGGTTTGAAGATGAAAGCCACGCCTATCAAGAGGCTTAATACGAGGGAGGCTAGATGCCAAGTCTAGCTGCGATTGCAAGCCTGTCACTAATGTGAAGGCTTGGTGGTGCGCGGCCAAGTATCTGGCAGAGATAGGACCCTGGGGGAAGGCTAAGACTGTTCTTGAGTGTGGACTGAATATCGAGGGGAAGACCGCTGGGTGTGGGAAGGAACTGAGGATGTTATTAGAGGACGGTTAGCAGAGTCTGCAAAAGCAGAGTGTGATATTTGACTCACAATGAGCACTGGATCGTTGAAGTGCGGTATGTGTCTTTCGTTTGAGCTGGCTTTATTATCTTCTCCTTTTAGTTTGCAGATGCTGTCTGAAGTGCGATTCATGGTTGTTCCTGGCTTAATGGGATGATGTGTTTATATTCTTGACTGATACTCAACATAGAATATTACGTCGTGCAGGAAGTTTAAGCTCTAGAGGCTGATGGGATCCCTATAGGTCTGGCGCTGTAAACCACTACCTCCCACTCCATGCCTGACCCAGTTACTGTAGCGATACGTCCCAACAAGGACCTCGCCATTGGAAAGAATTTACCAGAAGTAGTCTGACGCAGCAATAATATCCCTATTATGTAAATACTTCCTTCCATCTTCATCGCGTTTTATCATCAAAGCTTACATCTACTGCATTGTGGTCATCTTCGAAGGGAACATATCTGAATCTGTCTCGTCTAGACGTATTGCTCTTGCTGGATAGTCAGCCATCTCCTATGTAATTTATCCAGCAATTCCGGCTACTGATGAGTATCTATAAAATGAACGCTCGTGGTCCGTCCAGCCAAGGGGCTCTCTTTTGCAAAGGCCAAATACATCCACCTAGAAGGGACTAAGGGGGGATATCTGTACCTTGAGCAGGGAGCACCAATATCTAGGACTATTCAACTGGTAGTATAATTGTATAGACTGTACACACGATCTGCTACGGAAATAACCAGTTTTGAGACGCCAGTATCAATTCCATGTTCTTAAGAGATTGAAAAGACGGAATATCTCGCAACAGCAATAGTTGGACCGCAAATATACGGTAACAGGACTTGCTGGGATGAAGAGAGAATCAAAAGCTTTACTAATAATTCTCCATACTTGTGACTAAATGATGGCCGAGTCGACCACAGTAGACAGGCACAGCTCTTGTTACTGGCCGTAGATAAAGATGGAGCTATTATGTTTACCTAGATAGAGCACATCTAGAAGCAATAGTTTCTTTTTCACATGTAGCAAGCCTATCTTCCTTAATCAGTCACGTAAGGCTTTGAGTCATCGCAAATCTGACGGAGCTCGGCAGGGAATAGATATCCCTCATACTACCTCTCTAACATTCTACGGATAGAAGTGGAGGAATCGCTCTAATTTTCCGTTACCAACCCAATGGGAAACATCTCCGAAATTCAATTTAAGGCAGAGCCGTTTTGCGGAACCAGAAACAGACCGTGATCTCGAATTTAAGTCAAGGTACACTTTAAATTGGGCCACTGTGAGTCCCGCACGGAACCATGGGATGACATGGAACTAAGTGATCCTACAACTCGTGGTCAGCACCTCGGTTCCGCAAGAGTCCCCATGCTGAATCTGTCTCACGACCACGAGTCACGAAACTACATTGATCGGGCATTGCATGTAACTTGACTCGGATGTTGCAATGCATTTCGTTACCCCACACACGAAGATGCGAAAGAATCCGGCAATTCAGGCGATAGAGTTCAGCCACAGTATGGGGTAAAAGGTACCCGGTCCAATCAGGGTTGCTAGTAAACCTCACGGAATCACGGATACGTGGGAAATACTTGAGACTTTGAGGTCTGATGATCCCCCCTACTCTGCATTGTAGGATCTAGGCCCAATCATCTGCAATAGTCCCGAAGTGTCTCAGCGAAGTTTTCCCGAAACACTGCAATCCTGAGACTTGCCGACAAGCTTAGCTCAAGCCCTAACCACGAGACGCCTGTAGATCCACGGTTCTTCCCTTGACTATCTGAGATGCCTCGGGTCGGCAGTTGATGAAGATAAGGTCCTGAAAGGCTTCCGATATGCATCCTTCGGGAGTGCATCCAAATATGGGCGTGCTGAAGGGATATAAAAGCGCGTGCTACGCACGGTGTTGAGTGCAGCACCAACAGCATCTTCTTCTGCCAGGTCATCAAGACTGCTCCAGTCATTTTGCCATCCCAGATCAACCCCTAGCCTGAGTTCCTCACCGACATGTCTCTGCGCTCAGTCTTCGTAGTTGCCTTGGCCACCCTGGCACTGGCGGCACCTGCCCCCCAGATTCAGGCCCGCCAAGGCATGACCTCCAACGAACTCGAGAGCGGCCCTTGTCGTGATGTGACTTTTATCTTTGCTCGAGGCTCCGTCGAGCAGGGCAACATGGTATGTCTCTCACCCAGGCGTTCACAAAAGTGAGTAGGTGACAGAGTTGACGACCTTAGGGGTTCATCGTGGGACCTGGAGTCTGCAGCTCGCTGAAAAACGACCTCGGCTCCGACAAGGTCGCCTGTCAGGGCGTGGGCGGCGCATATACCGCCCAACTAGCCCCCAACTTCCTTTCCCAGAACACGGATCAGGCATCTATCGATGCAGCCACGGATATGTTCGACCTGGCCAACACCAAGTGCCCGAATACGAAGATCGTCGCTGGTGGATACAGGTATATCCTCTACATCTGAAACGGTGAAGGCCCGCCGCTAACCTGATATAACAGCCAAGGATCTGCCGTCATAGATAACTCGATTCAAACGCTTGACAGTGGTCTGAAAGCGAAGGTCAAGGGAGTGGTCCTTTTTGGTTTCACCCGTAATGTGGTTGACAAGGGACAAATCCCAGGTTACCCCACGGACCAGACCAAGATCTATTGCGCTGTTGGCGACCTGGTTTGTGATAATACACTGATTATCACCCCGGCTCACTTGAGCTATGGGGAGGACGCAGATGATGCCGCCAGATTCCTTGCTTCAAAGGTCCAGGGTTGATCGCGGATCATGATGACAATGTCAACTGACTGGGAAAGAAGAATTGGAAGAGCTGGTCTGTCCATAATTATTTTCGATGTATCTATGAGAACAAATTTAGGAACTTGTTTAATTCACGGATGATGCAGCTGTTTGAGAGTAAATTATTTTCGGCCGTACGACTCTATTCCTTGCAAGAGCTATGGAGGCATGTGACAGAGGGAAATCTCGAGTATCGGACGTAGATGCTGACTCAATTCTCTTTGCACACATCTCTACTAAGTTTGAAACAGGAATCAACATACGCTTGCATTCACTGATAGTCCTTGTATCGAGCAACTGACACAACTTAAACACCAAATCCTTTATCTTTCAAAGAGACGCTTTTGGCTCCTTACCTCGCTTTAGCCTTCATCCACACATCCCGAGAGTGAAGTTGGCCTCAACCAGACACTGACTCATCTCGAGACGCCACAGCACATGCAGACAAGGCAAGGTAAATGATTCCTACAACTCGTAACTTGACTGAACAAGCCTTTAACTCTTACGTTAATGAATCTTGAGGAAGTTGATGTAGCTGACTTGAAGGCTAGGAGCTTAGGACTCTAGTGAATGAATACATGTGGAATAACTGCTTTACCAACCGTGAGATATATCCTCTACGAGATGTTGCACAGTTAGCCGACAGCATGCATAACCGCCATGGTGAATCGTCTGAGCGGTCGTTTCCTTACGATGCAGCACCTACAATGTTTGCGCTGCGTATATGCGATATCGCAAAGGGGTTCGAGCCGAGTCAACTATACCATGCTTCTCCACGAGAAGCTGAAGCTATGGCGCAATACATCATGATAATGGCGATCAGGGAAGGATCTTGCATACTTCGTATAACGGCCAAGATTGCTCTTGAAGGCGCCGTTATCAGTTCCGCTTCTTGGCTTTCCGAGAAGCCGACCAAG